ATAAAGTTCGATGTTGCTGTCACCTAATGACACCTTTAGACACCACCAACTACATTTTCCTGCCATGCCATAACCATCTGTGACTTACTTATTAACTTCCCCTCGTAAATAGCAGGATTCTTCTTCGTTTTCACTACTACTGTAATGCCTCGCAGCGTCATGGCATAATGAAATCTCTAGAACGGGCACTTCTATTCGCTTATCTATAGTACTTTTCAGTGTCTTTGATATTTCTGCGGTCCATGTTCTGCGTGGTCGACCTCTGTATTTGTTACTGTCGTGTCTGTATAAGACTACTGTCCTGTTGTGCCCCGTCTTGTGCCAATCTTGTTACGTGGCCAAACCATTTGATCTGTTGTTCACCGATTTTGCATACTACTACTACTGCTGCTGCTGCTGCTGCTACCACTACACTACTAGCTGCTGCTGCTAGGAGAAGAAGAAAATGAACCATTTCTACTACTTCTCCTAGCCCGGCTCTCTAGCGTAGTTGGTTAAACCTGACATCGCGGTGACCGGGTGACGAACTCCTTGTGGTCAGGGTTCACTCCCGGGGGTAGGCAGAAAAGCCACATTTCTCCCAGATTTACGGTAGCTATCATGGAATCAAGGCCGAAGGGTTGCGAAATCCATAATACCGAGCCAAAGGGTTAACAACTCATGGTTACTGGATTTAAAAAAAAAAAAAAACTTTTCCTAACGCAATGTACTGAAACTCCGCATCTTGGTAACTGCTTTATTACAGCCAATCACACACACTGCGACAGTTTTAACTAGACTCAGAAATCCCTTTCTCTTCCCGTTTCTTTATTCTATATTCTAACGAAGACAGGCGGTCCAAGGCAGAACTCAAACGAGTCAATACTCTCTGCACTGCTCGCCCCTGCCCTCAGTGACTCCACACTTCATTTTCATGAGGCTAAGGGAATGTTTGCTCTCACATTTCTCTGCCTTGGACTTTCTCTTCCCCCCCCTCCCCCCTTTTGGAAGTTTGTCCGTGCTTTCGTTTCTGCTGGCTGATGTCATCCTACTGTGTCATTTTGTGTTTCTTCCCTTCGTTCGTTACTGTCCTTTTTTGTTCGTCGTCTGCTATTCTTGTCATAGCGTAATCATTCGTCCGTAGCCACAATGGACTGCAGGTTGAGTTACGAGTTCGATGATCTTCACAGCACTTCAGACACATCCATAGGCGCTCAGATTCCCCTCAAAACATATTTATCAGCGTCGCGCGGTTAATAGTACCAGTCCTATGTTGGTTAACAAGACTTCGTGTACGTCCAGTGTGCTTCTCATACTTGGCTATGCTGATCTTTACTCCCAATTCTCGTATCCTTAGTAGTGATGTGAACACGTTGCTTCCAAAATCCTCGGAACCTCTTATCTCTGTAAGGACAATGACAATGTCTGCGTGATCCATGGGCCGGGCATCTTCAATTAATGCAGCACCTGCCAGGACTGCAGGTTACATCTGGCTGGTTTAGCATTTTATGGGTGCCTTAATTTGAACTTATTAGGAGAATGAGCCTGGCATCTGCCTGATAGCCGGACATCATCACCATCATCAAGTGCCTTGCCAGCTGGCGTAGGCGTTCATGCATCTCCACAGATCTCGGTCTCTGGTGCTCTGGATCAGCTCCACTGATGATACTCCTCCATGCCACTGTCTTAAGCCATCCACCATCGTTTCTTCTGGTCTGCCTCTGCCTCTTCTACCAGTGAACTTTCCAGTCGTCACGATATTTTTCAGTGCTCCTTTTCTCATCACATGACCAAAGAACTTGTTTGTGGTATCCAGACAGATGTTTAAATCTCAGGATCGTATGGTAAACCTTTAGAAGCAACCAGGAGGGGACAAAATGAGCGACCGATCGTAATCATTATTTTTATTTAGATGACAGTTTCTCTGTTCTTTGAAGTTATGCCATTTCCCTCACCTAGTATTATTTCATACACCAATCTTTCCGTGGCTCATTTTTCTTCATAACATTCAATTTTGTCAGGGGCGTCAGAATCTCAGGGCTTGCCCCCCCCCCCAAACATATTTTTTACTGCACAAAATCTGCCCCCCACCCCCCCCCCTTCCTTTTATCCCCAAACCAATTATGATTATTAAGGTAAATTTTTTTCTGGGGGGGGGGGGGGGGGGGGGGGGGGGGTGGGGGGGGGGGGGGGGGGGGGGGGGGGGGGGGGGGGGGTCATTTATTTATACATTTTATAGTATTTAAAACATTATATTGCTGTCATTCAGCACTCTTATATTATCATTATAAGCCACCGTGGTGTAGCGGTTAGACGCTAGCTTTCCTGTGTGATTTTAATCCTAGAGAGGATTTCCTTCTTCTTCTTCTTCAAGTGCACGCCGTGCGCGTTGGTAGTCATGTCTACAACATTCTGTCTTGTGTACTTTCAATCAACTCTGAAACAGATGATCTTTCATGCCATGATGTCAAACTGTCCAGCATCTGTTCTCTCGGTCTCCCTCTGCCTCTCCTCCCCTCCAGCTTTCCCACAGTCACGATGTACTCGTTTTCTCCTCATCACATGACCAAAGAATGTAGATCGTCTTTTTTCTGATGTGGGCAATCAGTTCTCTTCGTGAGTCAGTTTCTTTCAAGACGTCTTCATTATTATTTTTATCTGTCCAGGGTATTCTCATCACTCGTCTATAAAACCACATCTCTGCAGCTTCCACTAATTCACTAACTGTCCATTATTCATATCCATAAATCAATATAGGATTTATATAGCTTTTAATAATTCTATTTCTCGTCTTAATTGACAAAGAAAATATTGAATGTTAATCCCACATAATGCAAATCTGAGGGTAAGAGAGGGGGGGGGGGGGGGGGTGTTAAAAAAAGATAATGGCAGCAACTATGACGGAACAAAGATGGCTGTTTATGCTTTATCAGGGTTTGATGTTCTCGGCGAGGAGCAGCTGGCCGAGCAGTTACACAATCGGGCTTTCAGGCGGGAGACCTGGGTTCAACTTCTGGTAAGGTGGTGGGAGTTTTTCTGTTGGACAAATTTAAACATCCTAACCTGCACAGTCTGTGGTGATGGCACTAGCCATGCGGCCCTAAAACCTCAGGCTCGTGACCCCCTGTCTACGCCACCCTAAAAAAAGTGGTAAAACAGACAGAAGTAACAGTTTTTCTTTTTTCAGACACTCTCAGTGACTGACTATGAGCCTTGCCTCGTCAGTCAGCTGGGAAGACCAGAGAACGTGAGAAATGAAGCCTCATGCACACAATCTGCAAAGGTGCTGAGGCTCCCAATCTATGATTTATATGCATCCGCGCACCTGTCCTGTTGACACTCCTTTACATGCCCCTGACTCCCATACGTTTTCTCCACCTTAATTATTTTTGGCATGACCGAATATTTTGCAAGACTCATATTTCAGTTTTTCATTAGAAGTATTTGGATAACAGCATCTGAGCCAAGTGTTGTCGTATTGCTTATTGGACACGGGCATAAAATAACTCCTTCATAACGCTGGCTTGTATTACAGTTATATATTCTGTGCCATCTTCATCATAAAGGTCAACTACAGTGTACCACTCCCCATGTGGATTCCGGGACCCCATTGTGGGGAAAACAGAAACAGACCCACTGTCTCTCCAACAAGCATGGGAATATCTTCCAAGTCGGAGTATATCTGCCCGAGAGGCAAGGAACAACCAAGTGCACTCAAATAAGCCAGTAAAAGGGATATACATGCAAAACTCTGGCCCTGGCACGAAATGGATGAACAACCAGGATCTTCCGCCGGAGCTTACAGCCAGTGAACGAAGAAGAGGAAGAAGAAAAGAAGAAGTGTACCACTGCTATCTTAGACAATATGTGATGTAGCTCCCACTTTCCTCCATAGTGTGACTCGCATTCTGTCTGAAAGCTATGACAACGTTTTTGTAAGCACTTATACAAGTAAACAGAAGATGGGTGCCTGACAAAGAAAGAACAAGGACGGACAGGCACATCGGAAATAATGTCTGTTTATATACACTATAAAGATATTTCCATAGCAGATAACTTCGTTATTCCGAGAACGAGAATGCCTGTGACATAGGTTTCATCACTCTCTAAAGGGTTTTAGTGTTAGACCCAGTTTGTCGATGTTTTTATAATGTTTAGTGTCAGTGCTGCACATATTCTTAAAGGCTAGTCGCATGTCCGTTGGTAATAACTGAACAAGTGCTGAAAAAGCTAACATAACCATGACCTCAAAGTAAAGGACAATTAGGAACTCAAGGCTAGGCCAATCCAATAATATCAGTCGCCATACAGCAGTATTAAAATAAAAGAACCCTTTCCTCCTCCTGACGGCTTACTGGGCATATAGTAAAAGACCTATATTTTATAGACCAACAGGCACTCAGTGATTTATGTGGTCAACATCACACCAGTCCCCTTTATTTCCCATGACTTTACATAGTACCCATTTGAGGCAGTGTCAAACTGAGAGCCAAGGTTATGTTTGAAAAAAAAAAAAAACTTCAAATTCGCAGGCAAGCATCTAGTCACCACACTACGGTGGCTCTCTTAAACTTAGTCATGTATCCTATTTTTTTATAACTTCTTCTTCTTTGTTCACAGACTAAACCCTGGTTGTTCTTCCATTTGGACTCTGGCTTTGGGCCAGGACCTATGTTTTTGCATACATATGTTTTAGTGGTTTACTTGTTGTACTTAGTTGTTCCTTCAGGTTTTCTGGAGAGAAAAAAGATGTATGGGCCGAAAGGCACTGATATCGCAGCCTAGTTGTAGCAACATCGCAATCTGCCTACCGCCCTTCTAAATGTAAATGAAGAATAAATGAAGAAAACAGAGTAAAAATCATCCGAGTCTATAGTAAAAACAAGCAATACAGTGTACTAGTAAGATCCCATGTACAGATTAAACGAAAGAGAGACAGAGATGTGGAAAGCAAGAGGAAGAAAACAAAGACAAACAGTATCAACAAGAACAAAATGAAAACAAACCACATAAAGACTCACATCTGCTGCATGACGTCATTCAGAAAGACACCTTCATACAGGTCCTTATACTCCAAAGGGTGCCCATCACTGGCCTTAAATGTTTCCACCTGATTTTTGGAAACAATGAACACATAAATTGTACCAGACAAACCAACAACAACAAAGACTTAATTTAATAAAACCTCACACACACACAAAATATACAATCTTTTTGATTCAATGTTTGGTACTTTCAGCTCCCCCACCATCTCGTCGGCTGAGAGATTACGTAGGGAATTCTTAGGCAGTTACCTGGAAGGGACTATTGTATAGGGGAGGGTGTTAGGGTTAGTTTACTCTTGTTTTTCTTGTGTTCACCCAAAAATGATCATCTATATCTGGAATGTCATCTTTAATATGAACTTCACTGTATTTTATAATCGACTTAGCGACCTGTAAAGTTCGGCTTGAACTGGTATTTGTCTTGGGCAGATATAAGGCAGTGCGATGCAAATTGGGGATCGTTTGGACGGGCCCTAAAAAGAGCCATCTTGGGGTGTCGACAAGGAAGAGCCCTGAAAAGGAGCGACAATCTCCATGTACGCATTTTCATTGGTTAGGGTTCGGGCTAGATGCACAAATGCTGCCAGAACAAGGATTTTCACGAGAAGGCAAAGTCCCAAAGTAATAATACAGCGTGCAAACAGATTACAGTGATGAAGATGAATGAATTACGGTAACACACATTGGAATTGATGACACAATAAATCATAAACAAGCTGGAAGCCACCAGCACATGACATGCTAGAATATAGCAGTTTTACTCTTGTAGGGTTACTGTTAAATAACCATCGACTAACACTGACCCTAACCATGCCTATACTATACAATCCTCTGAGGAACTACCTAGGAATTCCCTACCAAATCTCGTAGCAATGGGGTTAAAAAGCTGAAAACAAAATATTTTATTTCAGACAAAGAAAAATATCTTCTGTAATAATTTCTCCCCCCAAATGGGAAATCCTTGTAGGGTACAAAAATATATATATTTTTTTAAAGACTCCTTAAGCAAACAGGTAGTGGTTTCAGGACCCGAGGGGACGACCTTTTCCAAAAAATGGCCCTGGCTCCAATGTTGACCTTACCTTTTATGGGTCCCGGGTAAAGTTCTGGGAAGCAAAGGCAGCTGGCATGGTGCTGACCACATTACCCATCGACTGCAGATTTATCTATAAAATCTAGGTCTATCCCTACATGCCCAATAAGCCTAAAAGCGTGGAAAAGGGTCCTTTACTTACTTGATCAAAAATGAGATCATTTTAAATAAATCTATAATGTACTGATCATCGTCATCAAGTCCTTTACAGAACGTTGCTCTCTTCACGGCACGCCTGAAAGTATTCCTTACCCTAGCCAGCTCTCCAACTCCATGTGCTTTCATTTCCAATGCATCTTCAATGTTCTGTACCCATCTTTACAGAGGTCGACCCCTGCCTCTCCTTCCACAAACTGTACCCTCCAACAACTTCTTTTCCAAGCTTCCCTGACGTCTGAAGTGGCCAAAATACTTCAACTTTGGGGACAGGATGCTGTTTATGAGCCACTTCTCCCTTATGTTTAACTCGTGTAGAATGTCAAAGTTTTTCCTCTTCTTGATGCAAGAATAATTTTTCTGTAACATTTTCATACAAAAGCTCTAACCTTTTTTCTTCAGTGATTGAGTGAGAGTCCAGGACTCATAATAATGTACTAAATTGGTGCACAAATAATACTGAATCACAAAAAGTAAGAACGCAACAAGTGTACTTACCCATCTCACAAGCGGGCTTTGCATATACAGTTTCTCAGCATCAGCCATTAGGAAGTGTCTTCACAAATCATACAATCCCTTTCAATGTAAGACCAACAATCAAGCATTTTCATCCAAGCATTTATCCATGTCGCAATCATATATCCGCGTCATTTATCCGTGATGAAAGCCCAAACACTTGTCACTATCCACAGAAACAATTTCTTTTTAAACTGTAAGCCACACAGGAATCTACATTTATGCGTCACAATTTAAAATCCATCCCTGCTTCATCGTTGTGCTTTGAAATAACTATGGACCTAATACATAAATTATTGTACAGTTAACGTATATGCAATTACATATAGGATATCATGCATGTCATAGCAAGCTACTGAGGAGAGCTGGCCTTAGACCAGCGGTTTTCAAACTATGGGTCGTGACTATTTTTTTGGGGGGTTGAATGACCCTTTCACAGAGGTCGCTAACGACCATCGCAAAACAAATATTTACTGAAGTTATGAATTAGCTACAACAATAATTGTATGGTTGGCAGTCGCCACAATATGAGGAAAGTCAAGAACCGCTGCCTTAGACTGACTAAAACCCCATATCAAACTGTAACTCCAAAATACAACCAATCATTAGCAAATCTTCAAAGGATCTTGGTGCAAACTGGCAGAGGTTCTTTACTTGCCGAGATGACAGGCAGAGAAAAGAGTAAGAGGTTGGGAAGAAGAAGTTACAGCAGAGGGTTTGATGTCATGATCCCCATCAGCCGATAAAATGTCACATGTTCTGGCATTTTATTCTTTTATTACATTCTATCCCGTGCGATTGTTCACAAATCAAGAATGGAATCCCGTCCAGCACCTTTGGCCTCTTTCATCAACATTTATCTTGAGGTTTCTTTTGTACATCTTCACCTTCTTAAACCATCTGATTCATATTTCAGTGCATGTTTAGTGATTCTGTGTTCTCTTTCTTCTGTGGATGTCTCACAACTGTTGATACTAACAGCTGTTCTGATATTTCTCTTCTAACAACAGGATGTATCTAAATTCTGGCAAAGCAAGAGATTATCCATCCGATTGACTGCTCAGAATCAACATAAGTAAACAGGCCTCATTTCTTTATCTTCCAGTCTTTTTTACCAGTCCTTACCTTACCATGTGTTTCTTATCTACCTTTATGTTTTAGGCATGTTGATGCCACTGTAAAGACATTACAGTAACACTATTATCCACTTTTCCAGTGACAGTGTTTTCCATAGAAGAGCTATGGTTCGGCCAGCACAATGATGGGCCTAATAATTCAAGAAAGGAAAATTCAGGAAGTGGGAAAGCTGGCAAGGGACTGAGAGGCTTTCAGGCTTGCCATGAAGATAGCAACATTTCTCCATGGTGTTTCCAAGGCCCCATTGCAGAAACAGACAAGAACAGACCCACTGCCCCACACAACGAGAATTCCATAAGAATCAACGAACTGCAAGCGTCCTTTAAAATCAGAGCACATCTGCCTAAGAGGCAAGGAACCAACAATCTGCACACTTAATAAACAGATCTGTAAAATGGATGTGCACACAACACTAAAGTTATGGAATAAGCCCAGAGGTGGACGAACAACTCTGCTGGAGTTAACAGCCAGTGAACGCAAAGAAGCAGGAGAAGAAGAAGAAGAGCAACATTCTATAAAGGTCCTGCTAATAAATGATGATAACAATTCTGTTCCCAGCACATGTGTCTGGTGCAGAAAGAGTTAATCCCAAGAGCAAATGTAAGTAGTGATTACTATCCCTTGTTCAACTTGACCTTATTATTAGAGACCTCATTATCTAATCTGCCAACCTATTAGACATTAAAACAATACACACGCTGTGTACAGACGCTGCTTCAGATAAGCAGGGCAATGAGTCTAATGCTTTGATTAACAAGCCATACTTTAGAGCCAGCGGATCACCAATTTAGTCTACTCAGTCTGAAGATGAATCTCATACTGATCGTCTTGCATGCACTTTGTCACATCATGCTAAAGTACAGATGTGAAGACTGGCTGTCTGACAACAAAAAAGCATCATTCAATCCAGTATTTTTACCCACATTTTGTTACCAGGACCAAATGTGGATACTAAGATGTTTAAAATAGCCCATGAAGAGGCAAGCATAGCTGGGTCCCATCTTATGCCCATAGCGACGCAGCTGATCTGGTCCAAACAACGGCCATTAAACTCGAAAGTGTTGAGAGTGAGCACTACCTCGGCCAGATTGATCAAATGGCCAGTGGCTATAGTAGAACTGACTGCGATCTAGAAAGAATCGCAAAGCCAGGAGACCATCAGAATGTGGAATGCATGTGAAGAGAGAGGTAACATATAAGGTGAAGATGTGGTATCTAGAAGGAGAGGTGAAAGATAGAAAGAGCATGGTTGGTGTCCTTGATATTAGACGGAAGTCCAAAGACCAAGGGCTACCTTATATGATCGAGGAACTCGCAGATTAATTCTGTAGCATAGGCACCGCCCCCACTGCTTCATGTTTATATTAAAACCCCTATACATTGTAAGCCATGGATACTAAAAACACAAGGAAAACGAGCAATCGAAACAACAGAAATGAAACTGGTGCCTGTCCAGAAGAGACAGAATAAAATAGCATGCGAGAGAACTACACAAGTTCCAGTGGACCAAGAGGTGAAGAAATGATGTTGACGTTGGATAGGACATACGTTGAGAAAACTTGAGAACAATATAACTAGAATGTCTTTGCACTGGAACCCACAGGGGTATAAAAATAAAGGAAGACACACACAAAAATCACATGGAGAAGGGAGCTAAAGAGTGAAGTTAAAAATAGGGGGAGGACATGGGGAGAGCTGCATGTGATAGCGAAAGATAGAATGCCTTGTCATGAGTTGGCTCTGCATGTGATAGCGAAAGATAGAATGCCTTGTCATGAGTTGGCTCTGCATGTGATAGCGAAAGATAGAATGCCTTGTCATGAGTTGGCTCTGCATGTGATAGCGAAAGATAGAATGCCTTGTCATGAGTTGGCTCTGCATGTGATAGCGAAAGATAGAATGCCTTGTCATGAGTTGGCTCTGCATGTGATAGCGAAAGATAGAATGACCTGTCATGAGTTGGCTCTGCATGTGATAGCGAAAGATAGAATGACCTGTCATGAGTTGGCTCTGCATGTGATAGCGAAAGATAGAATGACCTGTCATGAGTTGGCTCTGCATGTGATAGCGAAAGATAGAATGCCTTGTCATGAGTTGGCTCTGCATGTGATAGCGAAAGATAGAATGACCTGTCATGAGTTGGCTCTGCATGTGATAGCGAAAGATAGAATGACTTGTCATGAGTTGGTTGAGGGCTTATGCTCCAACTGTGGGGTTAGAAAGGCAGCAGAAGAACACAAGGAACAAGAACAATCAAAACAACAGAAATGAAATGTCTATAATGAATACTAAACAGAAATGACGACATAAGGAAACAAGCTGGCACACAACCTGTACTACATCTAGAGACAACACGCCAAATGGTTCCGACATATGTCAAGCCTACCCTAGATGGTGCACTTCAGAGAGCCCAGTCACATTAGAAGCCATCTAGAGGTCTACCATGCAAGTGATAGATGGATACAATATGCCTCTTCAAAACCTGACACTGAAAGGCAGAGCAGGATTAGAGAAGAAGAAGTGCCTGTCTGCATAAGTGTGAGAATTCCTAGGGACTCTACTATTGCCTTTGCCCATTGTTTACCCGGTTAGTCAAACCTTTGATTTTTCCTTCATCTGTACATCATTCACTTAGTATTCTGTCTGCTGCTGGTCGAACACAAATTATTAAGTCATTTTTTTGTTGTTGTTGCATTAAATGGCAGAAAACATTTCACTTGTTTTAAAATAAAATCAAGCAACTCCTACTTTTGGATGACCTTTCTTATATTCTTTCTGATATATCTAGCACTCTTCTCAAGAATTCTATTTTAGTTGTAATCTTTCTCTTTTTCAGTCACTGTCCAAAGCCTGCCTCTGGTAACATGAAATTGGTTAACAAAGTGCTTTTCTGGTCCCTAATTATACATCTTTGTCAGTATCAGTGCCATTTGTCCGATAAGTTGATTTGCTTTATTACATCGACTGTCCTGTCTCCTCTTCTTATTTGTGCAATGATTACTGATTATATCATTCTAGCTAAGTATTTTCAGTTATCTTCTTTTCTGAGTGTTCAATAAGTTTCTGAAATATAAGGGATAAAATCCTCAAAAGGTAATCATGAACGAACAAAATATACAACTATGTGCCAAGTGAAACTACTACTCCTACTGCTAATAATAATAAAAACTACCATTACCATATAAAAAAATACTGTTACTATATACTATCAATAATATAGTATTACATGAGTAGTACTACACTACCATCTAACTACTACTTTGATCACCATTAGCAAAAAATGAACGATTGTGTTAAACAAAATAACAGTAAAAGGTATAACAATTTCCAAAGCTGACTGAGGATTGGAAATGATTAAACCTGGAATGTTAACAAATAAAGGAAATTGTTATTTTAGCAACAACAACAAAAAGTGTATTTATTTTCTTTCTAACACCAACAACACATTCTCCAAACCTAACACTGGACTGACAAACAAAATGATGTCTCACTCACAGGAGCCAGACCTCCCACAAGCGCCAACTACAGTGTGTGTCTGCCACAACTAAATGTGGTGGGTGCTGGTCATCGACAGACCAGGCAGACAGCTCACAGACCCGCCGCCAGCCACAGTCCAGCAACGCCAACTTTGCCCCCAAACCCAAATCCCCAGATCAACAAAGTGACCAAACTTTCCTCAGCTGAAGTTGTAAGTTTGGCTGACAACACAGCAAATATCAACTGATCAAAATTTCCAACCAGAACAGCAAGTGTGTAATGAAATGTACGTTTTCTAAATGATAAAATTTTTGGGAACTTGATGTTCGAATACTTTCTTCAAGTGAAAGTGAAAAATTATTGTCCCAACCTGAGCCTGAATCAGAATTCACTACAATCTGGAACAGTGTATTTAT